ATTTACCTTTGGACTCAATGAATTGAAGGGTGGTTGGTAATCTAAACTGAAGTAATTAAAATGGGACTGAAATGGTGCAAGAAAAGAATTTGGTTTTGTGTTCAATTAGACGTTAATTGAACACATGGAAGCTTGAGGCATTTCATACTCATTAGTGATGAAATGATTCAAGTTTCCAAGGTTACCACTTCCCTTGACCAATTCATGAAAGGGAGGAGGTTTGTGTCTTGTTTTGTTGCATTTATTGAAATTGCACACTTTGGTTCATAAGCTATCATGCAATGAAATTGATTGAGTTGATGGTTTGTGGACCAAATTTTGTCTCTCCTTTGATCTGTTCATGATAAGGAAAGATGAGTTGTGCAGACAACCCTTGAGAATACCCTGTGCCTGCTCTATTTGTTCTCTATTACAGCAAGACAAACCCTATAGTAGTGGCCGGCAGGCCACCTTTGGTGGCCGACAGGCCATCACTGGTGGCTGACAGGCTCTCACTCCTAGCCGGCCGGCCACTAATGCAAAATCCAGCAATGTATTTTTTAAGCAGAGTAGAGCTATTCTGGAGGTGGATAAAGGTGTAAGTGTTCTACTGTGCAACATAGACCTTCTGGAAGCAAAATAGTAGCTTTTTCAGGTGGAAACCGAGCACATGCATGAGCATTCCTCGTATACCGAGCATGTTTAAGTTTAAATATTTAGTTTAGATATTTGTTGTAATTAATTAGTTGTAACTAGTTAATTTTGTAAAGTGTTGTAATTAACTAGTTTTTCGATTTTGTCTTATAATTATTTTAGTTAACTAGAATAGTTAATTCAATTTGTTGTAATAATTAGTTAAGTAGTTTATCTAATTTAATTTATTTTGTAATAATTAGCTTAGTTTTAGCTAGTTAGCTAATTAGTTTATTCATTCAGACTCTCCTTTGTGAGAGCGCAATATAATAATGTATATGTCTTCCAACCCCACGTATTTCTCCTTTTTATTTAACTGCCTACGATGGTCAGATTAAAGCAGCATGTTTTGTTTAGCATACTTCATGTTTGCATCCACTTGTATTACATGCACCAAGGCTTGGCGCATCATTCTAACTTACATTGTTAGTTTAAATTCTTGTTTGAATACGTGCTTAGACCGTATGCTATCAAATTGATTCATATGCCATATTAGTAGTCGAGCCTAGTATTTGCATATCGGATGAGTTACATTAGTCATATTGCTTGGTTAGGATCATGCATATTTCTAACTGTATCATCTTTTTGGCTTGGAGTACTAAGTGAGCCTTTACTCGCTTTAGTATAATTGCATGAGTGTGGTTATTGCCATGTCTAACATGCTTGTCATGAGGCTAAATGCTTAATTGCTATAACTCTTGAATGCCTGTGGATGAAGGCTTGTTACTTAAATTGGAATAATTTGAGTAATTTTCATATGCGATCACCTTTTCAAGTGGTACATATTCGAAACAATTTTCAAAATAAACATGAATCGAAATGTTCTAATTCTTGCAATTTAGTCTATACTTGTGTGTGTGCACATCACATAGTAATGCTAGCCTAATAAATCTGAATAAGAGCATATAAAGTACATAAGATTTATATCATGATTAGTAGAGGCCGATTTTTGATCGGGCGAGCAGGGGTGCTCAATTCATGACCTTTCCCTCTCGTACCTAAGTTCCCGAGTCGAGATAATATTGGTGATGACGGACACGTGGTCTTTGGCACGAGTCATGGGTTTTCTAAATTTTTCAAAAAATATTTAGGTGGCGACTCTGGGGCCGTTTGGTGTAGCTGTTAAAACAGATTATAGATTATAGCTTAACAGATTATAGATTATGACTTTAATCAGAAGCTGTTAATCTGTTTGGTGTAGCTGTTGGATTATAGATTTAAGTTGCTGAGTAGTGTTTGTTAAATAAGCCGTGAAGTAGCTTTTTGCTGTGTAAATGTCTTTTTTACCCTTGTTAGTTGTAAATTGAATTTTTCTAGACTTTTTGCTATTAATTACATATTAAGAGATCATTCCAACACCAAATTAACATAACCCTATCATTTTTAAATAATAATACAATGAAATAAATATTACACAAAATAAATTTATTATATTTTAATAATTATTTCCTTGAGAAATTGACATTAAAATCTCATATCTTCTTGAATCCATCTCATAATCATCATTACGAACCGGATGCCCATGTCGGTCTTCCCCTACCACTGCTTCCTCGTCAACAGGGACATACTCAATATGTTTATCATAAGAGTCAAATGGAATATCCCTTAACTTAGTTCATGTAATGAAGTTGTGGATCGCCATAGTAGCACAAACAAGTTGTCGTTGACAAACAAAATTATAATTGCATGGAATATCTTTCATAAAAGGCCATCTTGCTTTCTAAACACCAAATGATCTTTCTATTACGCTCCTGAGTGATGAATGTGTTTTGTTGAATTTTTCATGTGCAGTTTGAGGAGGCCGATGGTCAAATTGAGCTAAATGATATCTCTCCCCTTTGTACGGCGCAAGATAACCCTTTGTGTTTGGATAGCCAGAATCAACCAAATAATACTCATCTACAAAGTAAAATATGAACTCATTACAAATATAACTAATATAGAATAAATGAATAAATCTTAATTTGTGTTACATACATACCTCCTTCTGGATATGGAAAATTATTGTTTGGATTCCTAATTGTATCCCAAAAAATTCGCGTGTCATGTGTACTTCCCTCCCAACCAGGCAAGCAAAATGTGAAACACATGTCAAAGCCACACACTACCAATATGTTTTGTGTAGCATATCCCTTCCTACCTATGAAACGGGGTAAGTATTCTGCTTCCACATGAGCTTTGATATGTGTTCCATCAATTGCCCCAATGCAATTCTACATACAAAAAATATCAGAAAATATTTTTTTTAAGAGAGAGAGAGACAGAGAGAGAGTATTTGTAGTTACCTTAAAATGAGGGTAATATTTTCGGCTATTCTTTATGTACGGATGAACCCCATTTCTCTGCCAAGGCTTCACCCAATCCACGGACATTTTCACACACGCTTTTAAAACAGAGTGGAAGTATTTTGAAATAGTTTCACCCGATAATTGAAATCTTTCTTGAGCATTTCTATTGTTTGCATGTTGACCAACAATAAATACAAAAATAGCAACTTGTTGTTGAACCCCAACTTTTTTCCCACTTTGTAGTTCATAGTTAGTCTCTAATAAATTGCACAATTGATAAAAAACATCCCTGTCCATTCTAAAATTTTCATATATTCTTGTAGCATTACCATGTTGCAATTCTAACATCCATTGATGTCCTGTGAGAGCAGATGTCCTACATGGTTGTTTATTTAGGTAATTTTCTGCATAAATTGTTCCTGCCACTGCTGCTGCCATTAAGTAGGGATTTCCATATGGGTGATTTGGTTGTTGTGAAGATCCAGCGACATTGTCATCATTATCATAATCACCATCATTATCATAATCACCATCATCATTGAAATTGTCCATCTTTATACTGTATAGAAATGAGGATAAAAAATCAACACCTATTCCTATTGTATGAGGGTAAATGTTGTGAATACAATATAAAAGTAGGAGTTTCTACCAAACCTAAGTAGTTTCAAAACTTATTTATCATGCAAGTTGTTATGATTTATTTTTAAAAAATGACTTTAGGTAAGAAAATGTATTTTCAATTCAAAACATCACCTAAAGTCCTGTTTTCAAAGTACTATATATCACAATAACATGAAATTAATTAATTAAAAAAATTCAAATTTACTTAAATTTGATAAATATGTTTTAAAATAGCATACGTTTTTTTTTTTAATCTAAGAAAACTCCTAAAAGTTGGGATGTAACACATTAATGAGTTTAATTTTATTTCATTTTTAAATTTTATTTTTGTTTCATTGTAAATAACAATAACATGGTTTATTTTTATTGAATCCCAAGTGAATGATCGTATGCTTGCAATTAAAATTAAATAACTTAGGATGCTAATTATAATAATTAGAATAATATAATATGAACTCTTCCATGATTACATGAACTCTTCCAGAACAATTTTATGCATAATATAATATGAATAATTTTATGCATAATATAATATGATTACATGAACTCTTCCAGAATAATTTTATGCATAATGTAATATGATAAATAATTTTATGCATAATATAATATACTAATTATAAATAACTTAGGATGCTATTTATGTATAATATAATATGAACTCTTCCAGAATAATTTTGCCAGATCCCCATACATCATTCTCACTGACCCATGCATAAATATAACCTATCTAGATCATAATAATCATATGCATAAATTAATTTAACACACAAAATAATAGAATATAGACACAAAATAAAATTAAACAAACATCAGCTGAATACTTGCAAAAATTGAAATGCCTCTTGGTTGTTTAACAATTCGGAATGGCAAACAAGTTCACCATCACACTATATATAGACAGTGTCATTACAATATTCATCATTTAAATAATATCTTTTTAAAATTGCTTTTCAACTTGTAGGCAAATGGACAAAATACAACTTCCAGGCAAATGGACAAAATCACAACTTGCAAAATCACATGACACACAAGTGGCCAAATACAACTTGCAATAATACTTCCTATTCCATCCGTGAAGGCACAACTTGCAATAATACTTCCTATTCCATCCGTGATAGCACAAATTAAACATAATTCACTGAGGCAAACATAAATATAACATCAAGCCAAATTAATTAAAGATAGTCCTAATAATGTTTTTTAAAATAATAATAAAAAAAACATACACACATTCGCACAATGAACTAATCACGAAAACCAGGAATGCGAGCCTTTTCCAAAGCAATTTCGAGATTAATAAACTTCAAACGCAAAACATCATTAGGCAAAGCCATGAAAGACTCACGAAGTGAGGGTTTCATGAACAACCTTGCAGCCCAAATTAAAAGGTCATCGTCTTCACTAATGCCAGAGATTGTGCTAATCTAACCCCAAACACTCAGTTATTGTGTGCGGATTTTGCATAGAAGCATTCTGTGTACCAGTTGAAGATGATGCCTCCACAGCATCGACAATGCGGTTAAGTGTCTTACTCAACTCACCGGCAACCGATTGTTTTTTGTTCCCCTTTTGTTTCTTTGATGGACCCTCTTTTTGGCGACGACATTGGTTGCTCAATTCAGATGGATGAATTTCCGTATCAGTATCATCACCAAGTGGGGTGTGAGATCCCTCAGTGTCAAGAAACACTCCAGAGCTTGGAGTGTATGCCCACTCACCAGTTGCAGAAACATCAGAGAATAGTATGTCCATGTCATCGGCCAATGTCAATGGCTTCTCACGAAATTTGGCCGCATCAGGATACCTCTATAACAAAATATGGACAAATATTACAAATATATAAATTATAAAGCTCAAGTATAAGTGACGAAGAAAAAAAAAATTAACATAATTCACTAACCTGTAGCTTCAAATTCCACCAATCATCAGATGCCATGATAGCTCCAGTCAAGGGATCTAACCCCAGCCCCATTTCACCTCTCAATAGATTTTTCCAAAGACCCCACTCCTTTTTTAAGGTATCCCAACGATTTTTAAGCTGAATGCGAACATATGACTTTCCAGTTGCAATTTTGAACTTGTTAATAACTGCTTCCCAACCAACCCTATCTAAGTGCGTACCAGGTCTGTGACCTGCTTTCACTTGCTCCACACAAAGTTTGACAAAAATTTCAGTAGATTTTGTGTCCCAATGTGCCTTTAAACCTTGTGAGGGTTGGGAGTTTTGGGAAGCTTTTCCTTTACTCTTTGTAGTTGTTGGAGATTGTGATGGTGGTTGGGAACTCATTTTCTATTAAAATCATGATTCACCAAAGACAACTCTTTCAGAAATTTGATTTACTTTAAAGGGCCAGTTGAAATAGTCAAAATTAGTCCTTATGTAAAATCAGGATGATATTACCTATTCTATATATTTAATATGCTATATAAAATCAAAATTAGTTCTCTTGTTCATAATTTAATATGCTATATATTTAGTATTTATTTTCTGTTAGTAATCTTTTATATCTAAGATATGAGAAAAGAATATAGTTCGAACTACCTTCTCTACTCATGATCATCATTTATTTTCCAATGATTATATTGCTGTTGTATGTCACATGTGGTATTGAGTGCTCATATCTAATTCATGATGCTCTAGTAAATCTAACATTAGACACAAAACCCAATTTGACATTCTTATTAAAAGAACCAATGCATGTTTGACACACATGATTATTATTCATATTTATGATATGTGTTGTATTAAACATGAGAGATGTTCTAGTTAGGCACTAAATTCTGAATTTTTAAAAATTATGTTTCGTGTGAATATGGAAGTTTATGGTCTTCTAACCGTCTGAAAAATAGAAAGGTTTCTTTGATTTTTTATATAGTAATTGACTAATAGATATCTCACAATTTATAAATATCATGCAGTATATCTCACAATTTATAATTGACTAATAGATACAAGGACAATTAAACAAATAGCCCAAAAAATTGATGAATTAGCCACAAAATAAATGATCTTCACCAAAACACATCCACTCAAGTCACACAAGCATACAGATTAAGTTTAGAACAAAAGCTCCAAATATATATGAACATTCAAAAGACATGCCTACTGTCAGTCATAGATAACTTTGTGCTCTTATTCACAAGAGCTCACTCATATGACAATCTTCTCTTAGTAATTTGTTTGTTATATATCAATAATTCTGTGATTAGTTTAGAGCTCACTTTTCATATTTTGATTAATTTGATTTGCTTTGCGTGGCTTCTATCTATATGTTTTGTACTCTGTGAATTTTAATCTTGTATGCATAAGTGAGTGAAATAAATCCTTCTTTTTTTTAAAATAAATTTCTTTTTTCTATTCCATTTAGAAATCCCTGAATCCTTAGATTGAAGCACAGTTAGAGATCCCATTCTGAAAAAAATTATGCCATACTAATTTCTCCAAATATAAGCTAAAATTTTCTCCATTTCCCTTAAGCACAGATTTTTTCTTGCATCACTACCAGGAAAAAAAAAAAAAAAAAACTTGAACAAACTTTTAACATCAAAGAATGAATAAATTTCCCCAAATTTTTATTATTATGAATTTTTAATAGAATAATCACAGTAAAATTTTTAACTCCTACACAAACAAAGCATTTTTTTTTTTTGATTCATACAAACAGAGCATTAATAAACCAACTCCTACACAAATTTTTAACATCAAAATAAATTTCCCCAAAATTTTCCTAAACCCTAACTATTCTTATTTTCCCCAATTTGAACAAATTTGAAATACATATATATATTTGAAATATATGCTGAACAAATTTAAAATCAAACATAACCAAAACAATACACACACACACACACACATATATATATATAAACATGCATGCCGAGCAAGAAAAAGAAAAATCAAAGATGAAGGAAACGAACCAGAGTCGGAAACGAATCAGAGCAGCACGTCGCCGGAAGCAAACCAACGTCGGAAACAAACCAGAGCTTCACGCCTCCGGAACTGAACCAGATCGCAACTTGCTACTGCGTTGCTGTGTTGCTGTTGACCTCTTGCCAAAGACAAGATTAGGGCAAAAAAAAGAACATATATAGGTGGTATAAGGGTAAATCTTTCAAAACACATAGGACATTTAAGTCAAATTGCCTTCCGCAATTTACCAGCGAGAATCTGAAGCTGGTTCAACCAGCTTTTGAATTTCAGCTTTTTTCCCCTTGCTGATAATCTGTAGAAGTTGAAGTTGAAGCTGAAGCAGATACCAGGCAACCAAATAGCTGAAATTAGCTTTTTTTAAGCCAAAAGCCAAAAGTTGGGCAAAAAAAGCTTCACCAAACACCACTTCTGTATCTAGCAAAGTAGTCCATTTTTGGCAGTTTGATTCAAAATCGATTTTCCAAAAGATTTGTCAGATTTGGACTCTTTGGTGTTTATCTATTTCACATTACATTTGTGAGATCAGATTCAAAACTGCAAGAGTCCGTTACTGTAGGGCTTATTCGCCTTTCGAAAGGGGGCGCGAAAAAGTTGAGCTACAATGCCTAACCAGGAGCCTTCACTCTATGACTCCAGAAGAGGCTTAGAGTTCACATAAGCCAAGTGTCAGCCATCTCAGAATATTTGGGTGTATTGCGTACACCAAGATTCTAGAAACAAGAAGACCCAAGCTCGATGATAAGGGAGAAAAATGTATCCTTGTCGGATATGGAGATAGAACAGTGGGATACAAGTTGTATAATCCCATTACCAGAAAGGTGATCATGAGTAGAGATGTGATATTTGAAGAAGAAAAAGCTTAGAACTAGAATCAAGATGAAGTTATTAAAGATGCAAAACTTACTCTTGAAGATGAAACATCAAAAGCTCTGGTTGAAATCACAGGAGAAGTCCGAAATGAGCTACAAACTCCTATATGTGAAACCCTCGCATTACATATAAGAGGTACTCCATCATCGTCATCTCACAGAATTGGCACACCATCATCATCATCATCATCGGCATCATCGTCATCATCATCAGATGATAGTTTTTTCAGAACAAATAGGGAAATAAAGAGCTTAAGAGACATATATGAAGCCACATAAGCCATAGAAGAAGAATAAGAAGATATGAATTTGTTCTGTTTACTCACAGATAGTGATCCACTTACTTTCTTAGAAGCCATCCAAGAAGACAAATGGAAGAAAGCAATAGATGAAGAAATTCATGCCACTGAGAAAAATCACACATGGAAGCTTACCAATCTACCAGAGGGCCATAAACACATTGGAGTGAATTGGATATACAAGACAAAGAAAAATGCGTGAGGCGAAGTGCAATGCTACAAGGAAAGATTAGTGGCAAAAGGCTATAAGTAGAGAGCTGGAATTGATTATGGAGAGGTGTTTGCTCCAGTTGCCTAGTTGGAGACTATCAGGCTAATGATTTCTTTGGCTGCCCAGCACAAGTGGCATATCTATCAACTTGATGTGAAATCTACATTTCTTAATGGTTTTTTTGAAGAAGAAATCTATATTGAACAAGCTTCGGGGTATGTTGAGAATGGGCATGAAGACAAAGTGTACAAATTGAAGAAAGCATTTTATGGATTGAAACAAGCTCCGCATGCATGGAATACTAGAATTGATCAGTATTTTCATGACAATAGTTTTGAAAAATGCCCATATGAGCACGCACTACATTTGAAAAAGGAAGCTGATGGAAGCATGTCGCTTCCTTGTCTTTATATTGATGATCTAATTTTCCCCAGAAACAATCTAGTCATGTTCAAAGAATTTAAAAGGAGCATGGTCCAAGAATTTGAAATGACAGATATTGGATTGATGGCTCATTTTCTTGGCATTGAAGTGGCACACAAAGAAAAGATGGAATTTTTATTTCCCAAAATGGCTATGCTAAGGAAATTATCAAGAGATATAGAATGAAGAATTGTAATCTAGTGAACACTCATATAGATAGTGGAGTGGAGCTCAAAAAGGATACAAAGGCGGGTGATGTGGTTCCAACTTATTTCAAGAGCTTAGTTGGAAGTCTTCACTATCTTACTTACACTAGGCCAGACATAATCTATGGAGTAGGACTGATTAGCAGATATATGGAAACACCGGATTAGTCACACCTTTATAGAGCAAAGAGGATTCTTTGCTACATCAAAGGTACAATCGATGATGGTTTGTTTTATAAACCGACTGATAATTTCAGTCTTGTCGGCTATTCAGATAGTGACTAGGGACGTAAAAGAGTACTACTGGGTTTGGTTTCTTTATAGGAAGTACAGTGTTCACTTGGTCATCCAAAAAGCAAGCTATTGTGACACTGTCAACTTGCGAAGCTGAGACTGTTGTAGCCAACTTGTAGAGACCCTAATTTTTGGTAATTACCTGTGAAATCCTAAGGCTTAGGTTAATAGCATTTTAGCCCTAGTTTTGTAAAAGTTTGCAAAATGGCCCAATAAAGAATAATTTTCCTGTACATTATCATAATTAATTCTTAAAACACCACTTTATAATTAGAAATACCCTAAAACTTGGTTTTTATTTATTTTACCTCCTAGTTTCTAAATTAATTCATACCTTTTATTTATTTTTTTGTTCTTTTATTTATTATTTATTGGAATAATTATTATTATTATTTATTTGAACATGAATATTTACATAGGTATAATAAATATTATTTTGGGAAAAATTGGTTGAGAAAAAATATCTAGATATTTAGAACTTCCCTTAGTCACTAAGCTAAAGGGCAAAATGATATTTTCAACACAAACTCCTTGCCTATAAATTGAGAGCATTGCCTCTATTCCTTGCTCACATTTCAACAGCCAAGGAGAGGGTGAGAGAAAGATAGTGTGACTAGAGAGAAGAAGAAAAGAAAAGAAAGAAAAGGTGCCTTCTTGAGTCAAGGTAAGAACACATCTCTCCCTTGTCTTCTCCAATTCTTTCACCTATCTCATCCTATTGTCTAGTATGCCCTTTTGCATTGCATATTAATGGTAAATAGGGATTTTGGTGTGTATGAAAGTGTGTGTATGATCTACTGACTTTGTCTTGCAATTTTGTCAAACTATACACTGTTGCAACTTCTCTAATTTAAAAGAGATATCAAATTTATTTATTTCTCAAATTTGAATTTAATATAAGACATTTGGTGTGTTTATAGCTTGTGATAATTTTATTAGCCACTAATTGTGTGTTGTTAGGACTTGGATATTTTGTTTTTAAAATATGGTCCCGAGTCTCTAAAAATAGTCCACTTCTTGAAATTTTATAAAATTACAGAAAAATTATCTCATGTTGGTTCTTCTCTTAAAATTTAGAATTATGAGTCCTCTTTCTAACAGAATTTATTTGGGTGAAAATCATCCGGTGGATTGAGAGGAAAGCTAGTTTTCCTAAGGGGTGACAAAGCTGGATAAGTTTTCGAACAGAGCTTTTAGATGAATTTCTGGATGTGCTGTGCAAATTTCGAAAATTGGAACTGAAAATAGACATGTTATTTATTGTTTCTATGGAATTTCAACCCCTAATATGACCTATAAGTATTTTTACCAAAGCATTCTTTTGACCTCTGC